ACTACTACTACTACTACGACTACGACTACGACTACTACTACTACTACTACTACTACTACTACTACTACTACTACTACTACTACTACTACTATTACTACTACGACTACGACTGCGACTACGAGTACCACTACGACCACGAGTACTACTCATCCTCCCCTCCTCTTCCTCCTTTTTTTCCTCTTCCCCCACCCCCTGCCCCTCCTGCCCTGCAGCCGCTCCCGCCGCCGCCTTCTCCTCCTCCGGCTGGAAAAGTTAGATTATAATCTCTGGCGTGCAAGGCCTGGGTGTCAAGCTTTGTGGGCGTTTGGCCTGTAGAGGCACGCTGCAGCAAAAACTCCTCCGCAGTCTCATCCGCCCCCTACTCCTCCTACTCCCCCCTTTGCCCTTCCTCCTCTCCCTTCTCCTCCTTTTTCTACTCTTCCTCTGCCGCTTCCTCCTCCTCGTCCACTTCCTCCTCCTCCACCTTCTCCTTCTCATCCACCCACGGCCCGACGCAGTCCTTGCCTTGCCTTGCCTTGCGTTGCCTTGCCATGCATTCTCCTCCCTCTCCTCCTTCTTCTCCCTCCCTCCCTCCATCCATCCTTTCCGGCGGCGGCGGCGGCGGCCGGCGGTGCCGACGACAACGAAAGCGACGGCGGCGACACCGGCGGCCGGCGGCGACGAAAGCGACGGCCGCGCCCTTGCCGCGGCCGAGGGGCTCCCGGACTTCTGCCCCGCACAGGCCGCCCGCGCGCGACCCCCCCCCCCCCCCGCGGCGCGGTGACGACGGCGGGTAGCGTCAGGCGTCGGTCGGGTGCGGCCAAGGGGGGGGGTGATGACCAGGGGGCGAGGTGGGTATCATGGCCAGGGCCATGACATCTCCCCAGATGTCATGGCCCCTCTTTAGTTGTCTCAAGGCCTTGCCTGGCCCCCTGGCCCGCGCACATGCCTCGGGCCGTGATTTGCACGCCCCCCTCTTGGACACTCCCGAGTGGGGGCGCACCCGCTGGCGCGGCGACGGCGGGGGGGGGTCGCGTCGGGCGTCGGGGCGCGCCGCGAAGAAATTGGTTCTCGGACGGTTTCTCGCCTCGGGGGTGCCTTCCAGCAGCTGCGCCTCGTCGAGAGCGCTCCGGGGTGGCCCGTTTCGTCCCGATCGGCCGCCAGGTGGCCCGAGATCCGCACCCCCTCGGGTCAGGAAAGTTCATCGGCGGTATGCTTTTGGTTGTTTTCGGCCTCCAGGGGCGCTCGCCAGGCCCCAGGACCCGTCGGGGAAGCTGGTCCCGTGGGATGGGTCGAGACTTCCGGGGATTCCGCACTGTAAGAGTCATGGCTCCAGCATCCCAGAGCGGATGTCGTTCGGAAAACAGCAGGATGGGCCCGGAGTGTCCTGGAGAATTCCGTTACGGATTTCGCAGTGAATTTCGTGCGTATTTTGATTGACCAGGATTGAAGACTAAACGAAATCCACGCAAAATTCTCTTCGTTTTTCGCTCGCCGTTTCGGGGGTTTGCATCGACAGAAATCCGACCACGCAAGAATCCGCTGCAGCACGTCTGCAAGGTCGGTGCAGTGATAAGAGGGGCAGAAATGAAGACCTTGCATGGTCTGGCGCGGAGGGGGTCGATGGTTCCAGGGAGGGGCTTTGTGGGGTGGGGGGGCGATAGATTCGAGTAAGAGCACGCGGTATAAGCATAAACTCGTGGAGGTCCGCGAGGAGTTCCTGTACCACTTGGCGAAGCGTGCCTGGGGCGGCGCCAGCCAGCGCCGATCCAAGAAATCCGCGCGGCCCTCCGAAAGTTGATGTTTGCGCCGCTGCTTCTTCCTCGGATGTATCGCCCCCCCCCCCCTCATAATGTCAGCTTGCGGTTGACAAATGAAGCCCCCCCGTCCGGGGGCGCGACACACTGTTTTGTTTTTACTCACGCGCGCCAGGGTTCGGAGAGCTTGGGGAACCACCGCGCTGCGGATGATGGTGAACGGCGCGAACGAGGAGGAGGAGGAGGAGGAGGAGGAGGAGGAGGAGGAGGAGGAGGAGCAGGAGAAGGGGGAGGAGGATGAGGAGGAGGAGGAGGAGGAGGAGGGAGGAAAAGGAGGAGGAAGAGGAGGATGGCGGAGGCGGCGGCGGCGGTGGCGACGACGACCACGACAGAGGGGGGGAGAAGGACTGCCCGCCTTGCTCGGGTCGGCTGGGGAAGGAAGGGGGGGTTGGGGGGGCGAAACCTGCCGCGCGCAGCTGGTTTTGGTCGTTTCGCCGAGGGGCCAGTCCACGATGCATGGCCGCTTTCGGCGCCAAAAGGCGCTTTGAGAATCAGCGACGCGAGCTGCTTGGCAAATCTCGGCTTTGCCACGCCCCCCTTTCGTCCAGCCTGCCTTGCGGGCCCGCGAGGCAGCTGGCACCCCCCTGGCTGCGGCCAGGGGCAAAGGAAGCGCATCGGTTCGACGGAAAAAAGGGGCGCCCTGGCTCACGGTCCTTGCTTCTGCCGCCCTTGCCTCCCGCCCCCCCCAACTCCCCCAGTCTGTGCTGTTTCCGTCGCCTTCTCGCTGGCAGCCCGGCGTCGCCACGCCGCTGCCGTTGTTTTTCAATTTGGCGGGCGCCGCCCCGGGATTCGCCCGAGCAGGGGAGCCGCTGTATCGCGCAGACCCCACGTATTTGCTAATCGCAAGCCGGCATTGCGCAAAACCCTTTTTGTGGAGGGCCCCTGCCCTGCAGCCCTCGACGCCCTCCGCGCCAGATCATTGTGGAGTTGGGCCGAGGGCTGCAGGGCAGATGGGCCCTCCAAAACGGGCCACCCCAGACGTGCGACGCCCCAGTTGTTTCAATGCGGCGTCCCTGGAAGTCCCGACCCTTCCCCCGGGGCTGGTTTTTCATCCTGAGTCGTTTCTTGACGGTCCCGAGGCCCGGCGAGGGCCCCCCGAGGCCGAAGACGGCCAAAAACACAAGTCTGGACCCCTTCCTTGGGACCGGCGTTTCATCGTGAGCCTTCTCTTTTTTTGACGGTCCCGAGGCCCGGCAATGGCCCCCGCAGGCCGAAATTAGCGAAAAACCTCCCGTTGTGTTTTTTCTCTGTTGTTACAGCGCGAGGAGGTCTGGGAAGGGGGCCCCCCAAAGGGGCCACCGTGGGACCCAGACGAGATGTGCACCTGGCAATGTTTCGCCCCCCCCTCATTTCTGGTCGCCCACCCACGCGGCAGCGCCCAGGCGCCCTTGGGCCCTTGGGGGCTTTCCCCCCCCCCCCCCCCCCCCCTTCGGCGGGGAGCCAACGGGCGGGGCCGCCCTGGGGGCGTCCTTGAAATCTGAAGAGGAGGAGGAGGAGGAGGAGGAGGAGGAGGAGGAGGAGGAGGAGGAGGAGGAGGAGGAGTAGGAGGAGGAGGAGGAGGAGGAGAAGGAGGACAAGTAGGAGGCGGAGGAGGAGGAGGAGGAGGAGAAAGAGGAGGAGGAGGACCAGTGTAAACCCAAGAGTCGCCAACGATGTTGGCATCAACCCGTCCTCGAAGCTCCCTTCTTTCGTAGGCCCCATACAAGGGTTCATTTCCAACGAGGGAACTGCTGACACATTGGAAGAAGACCTTGGAAGAGCCTGAAGCATGACAAAACATGATTCTCGAGACCCCAGCGCCACGGATCAACCTGACTTGATTGTTGCGTCTTGACGATCCTGAACCGTGCCGAGACGCCATTCATGGGACTTCAGCACCGCGAATCAACGTAACTTCTACGCCCTCATAATTCTGAATCTGTCCAAAACATCATGTTTTTTATGTTGATCATGGGAATCAGTGAAGCTCTTGCAAATATTAGAACGAATCTGCGCGGCGCTCAGGCGAGAGCCACATGTTGAAAACGAACCGCCCTCCATCCGTGAAGCTCTTGCATTCTCTAAAAACCATTGTGCGCGGCGTTGAGGCGAGAGCCACATTTTGAAAACAACCCGCCCTCCATCTGTGAAATTTTTGCCATATGTTAAGCTTCGGGGCCAGAAGTTGTGAGGATGGCTCAGGCGAAACGCCTGGCCCGCACTTTCGACAGGCCCCGGGTTGCGACAGGAAGAAGTTATTTACATCTAAAAGGAATGGAGGGAGGGGGGAGGAGGAGGGAGGAGGAGGATGAGGAGAAGAACGAGGAGGAGGAGGAGGAGGAGGAGGAGGAGGAGGAGGAAGAGGGGGAGGAGGAGAGGGAGGAGGAGGGAGGAGGAGGGAGGAGGAGGGAGGAGGAAGGAGGAGGAGGAGGGAAGACGAGGCGGAGGAGGAGGAGGAACATTAAGAGGGGAGGGTGGCGTCTGACAGACTAGCGCCTTCAGTTCGACAGCTCGGCAGGAAGATGAGCTGTAGGAGTAGCAGAAAGGGAGTGAGGAGTTATCGTTTGGAGCCTCGTTCGTGGATCTGCAAATTGCACTTGCTAGCATTGCTCGCTCGCTTGCGTTCCCAGACCACCTGGCCTCCATGGACGCATTTGTTGCTCGCCTCTTGAAATGTGGATCGAATGCCGAGGGCGCGGGTGCCATTGCTGAAGGTCTGCTTGCCTCCGAGCATTGGACAGACAGCGGAGGCACGAAGCATGACCTTGCAGTGTTGCGCAAACTCCGCAGCCAGTCGTGGTGCGCCGTCGCAGGGGCGGCGGGCTGCGTGGAGGCAACTTCGGGCCCCCTTGCTGGCAACTCGTCGGGGGACTTCTTATTTATTTTCAGTCGCGTGATGCACGCCGTCGAAGATCGCTGTGTTGCAGAAGGGACGTTGTACAAACTCACAAGTGAAACGGCCGTCGCTGGCTTCGGGGCGGAGCCCGCAACGGGGTCCAGGTACGATGCGATGCACGTGGGCCCTGCTGGATACACGGACGATGCCTTGCCATGAGACCCCAGCTGCAGATTCGGTTGAATAGATGAAAGTGCGCGCCAGCATACTTGAGAATGTTTCTCCCGCCACGCTTCAGTCATCAATGTCAAAAGGGGGGAAATAGAAGCCTTGTTTCGATGTGTTGACGATGGGTCGACAGACGCCAAAAAGCGTCAGCTTGTTGATGACAACGGCTTGATCTGCTTCGAACTCCAGGGTACCCGGAAGCAGATTGATGCCACGTCGCATTGAAACACGTCGGCATTGTTACGTGTTCGATTTACTCGATGCATCCTGAAAAAATTGCGAAACTAGGGGCCGTGCAGGGGGTGCTTAGACAATTGCGTCGCAGCGTGCTTCACCGCAGGGGCGTTCCTGTCGAGACCCGTCTTGCGCTGTGCCAGGGCTCTGTGTTCACTCGAGGCTTGCGCCAATCTGGCAGGTGGCGAAAGTTGTATGCTGCTGAGCTGTTCAGAGGGCCCAAAGTCTATTCTCATGGCGCCAACATCGCAGAGCGGATTTCGTTTGGAAAACGACAGGATGGGCCCGGAGTGTCCTGGAGAATTTCGTTCCGGATTTCGAAATGAATTTCGTGCGGATTTATTTGGGCCAGGAATGAAGACTGAACAAATCCACGCGAAATTCACTTCGTTTTTCAGTCGCCGTTTCGGGGTTCTGCATTGTCAGAAATCCATGCGGCAGTCCATTGCAGCACGTCTGCAAGGTCGGTGCAATGACTATTCGTCCGATCTTCGGGGATATGATGATGTGCGCCAGGCGCCGCCGCGCGAGGCCACTGCGCAGTGCGAGGGTTTTATCACCAAGGCGGTCATGATTCTCCGCATGTGTGTTGTGTTCGTTCACGCTCGTGTGCCTGCGCGCCGCGTACTTCGTGCGACAACTTGTCACAAAGCATTGGTGTGCGCAGATCGTGCATGCAGGCACTGTTGGATGATTTGGCGTCTCTGGTGTCGCGAGTCGTTTGCCCAATCCGCGGTTCAGCCAATCGATCGGTGATTCGCTGAAATCCGCACGAACCCCAAACAGTTCAGAGCCTGTTCCGGCCACGTGCAGAGGGAGGTATGGGGGAGGGGGGAAGTCTTCTTAGAAACACCCCTGCTTCTTAGAAGGCGCGGGCCTTGTCTTTCAATTTAGGCCGGCGCCCTCTAAGAAACAGTTTCTTTCTGAGAAGCCTTCCCCCCTCCCCCATACCCCCCTTTGCGCGCCGCCAATTGTTTGAGAGCCACGAGGATAGAACGTGAGGTGAACCACCCGCAATCAAGGGCGGAGACCCGCCGCAGGGCCGAGGTCAAGCATGTCTTCGCACTCCAGGATTGTTCCTACATGTGCGCTTCGCAGCAGCAGCTGGCAACCCATGTCTTCACCGTGCATGGTGTCCGGCGCCGCACGCGTGCGGTAATTGATGCGGTGCATTGCCCCGTGTGCGCGCAGTGTTCACACCCGCGTCAGAGTCATTACTCATCTTGAAGTGCGTTCTGAGAGGTGTCGTGCTGGCGTCATGCAGTGTTCACCACGATTGCCAAAGACCGTCGTAGCGGGCCATGATAGGCGAGACACCAGGAGGCCGCGCAAGGAAGGGCCAGAGCGTTGACCAGGGAAACTTACGAAGTTGGCTTGAGCCACAAGCCCCCCTTCTATTCCTGACGCCTTCGAGTGAAAGTGAAGCTGGGTCGGGGCGCCTCCAGAGGAGTAGCGCCTGCATCCGTGTACTGCTCCACACCTTTCTCCTGCTCCCGTGCAGGATTGCTTCCACAAGTGGGCACGCCCCAAACCGCGACGCAACGGAAAAACAAGATCGAAGAGGAGGGACAGGGGGGGAGAGGAGGAGGAAGAGGAGTAAAATGACGAGGGGGATGAGACGGAGGAGGCTGTGGAGGAGGGACTCCCTACCCTCCCCCCTCCGTCCTCCTCCTCCTCCTCCTCCTCTTCATCCCTCCTCCTTCTCCTCCTTCTCCTTTTCCTCCCCCATCCGCCCCTGTTCCTCTTTCTTCCTCATCCCTACTCCTTCCGCCTCCGTCCTGCTCATGCTTTCTCCTCCTCCTCCCTCCTCCCTCCTCCCTCCTCCCTCCTTCTCCTCCCTCCTCCGCCCTGCTCCTCCTTCCTCCCTCCTCCTCTGCCCTGCTCCTCCTTCCTCCTCCCTCCTCCCTTCTCCGCCCTGTTCCTCCTTCCTCCTCTCTCCTTCGTCCTCCGCACTGCTCCTCGTTCCTCTCTCCCTCTTCCCTCCTGTCCCCCGCCTCCTCCGCCACGGCGCGCGGCTTGCCGCGCATCCGCCCGCAGGAGCAGATCAATCAGCAGGAAGACGTGCTGGAGGTGCACCCCTCCCCCCCCACTCCACGCAGGGGGACCGAGGAACCGATGGACACCACAGCCCTGCGGACGGGGAAGAGCGAAAAACGAACAGGCGAGAGTGCCCGGATTGTCTCGAGCGGTCGCCCGAAAGCTCGGTTATGGCCCGAAAGCCAGGGATGCGGATAGCTTCTTTCTCCCCCACATCCTCGCGTCGTGACACAAGTCACGACGGCCGCCGTCGTGATTTCTGTCGCGACGCGAGGGGCGTCGGGGCGTGTCCGTCCACCGCGGGGGATGCTTTGATGCTTCTGCATGGGCCTCCACACCTCCACTTCCGCCACTCGCGTTTGTTGGCGCATCTTCCCTGCCTGCAGCGGAGTGAGATGCAGTCGGCAACTCATGGCAGGGATTGCGTAGCGTTTGGATGCGGTGGTCGGCGGGGGGGGGAGGCGTTCGAAACGCGCTGTTTTTTCGCAGGGACGTCTGGCTTGCCTTGGGGGTGCGTTGGCGGTGTGCCCCTGGAGGTCACCCAGAGGCCTTCTCCGAGCTAGGCCCAGGCAGGGCCCCCGGGCTGCTTCCCTCTCTCTGAGACTCCTCACGACGGCGGGCGGTGGGCACCTGGCAGCCCCTGGGGGTGCCCGCGGGGTCCTGGGACCGTCCGCGACCAGAAAAAAAAAGCAGCTCGGGATGAGGGGCCAGCCCCAGGAAAGAGCTCCAGCTCTCCAGGGGCTCCCATGGTGAACCGATCGCGACGTCTGAGTCCCGGGCTCTCCGCAGCATGCGGTCGGGAGTGGTGGCTCCGCGCGTCGCGCCACCGGCTCCGGCCCACCGCGCTTCGGCGCGACACGCTCCCCGAGCATCAACGGCCCGAGCCGTTCCCGGCCTCCTGCGACACGCTACGCCTTGCAAGCAGGCTGGCTATGCCGCTCCTCTTCGCGTGCCAGGGCTCATTTCGACCCCTCCGACTCGATTCGACTCGATTTCGATGTGTTCCGATCCGATCCGACTTCGAATTCCGACTTTGATTTAGGCGTTTCAACCGAAGCCTTACTAGCCTACCAGTTGCTGCCGATTCGGCCTCTCCCGGCACGGCTGGATCTCCGCCGACCCGATGCAGCTCGATCGCCGATTTGGCTCATCGATTCGCTCCTGGGCTCTCCGGATGAGCGAGCGCAGGTCGGCATCGAGCTGGAGAACCACTCGAGCAAGAGCCGCCCCCCGCCGACGCGCTTTTTGCTGGTCTCTGGGCCTCCCAGACGGGACCAGAGCAGACGGGGTCGGAAGGTCGCGCCGCATCGCCGATGCATCGGCGATGCGGCTCGATGCGGAGCCCGAGTTCCTCCACGCCGACGTCGCCGATGCATCGGCGATGCGGCGCGATCCTCCGACCCCATCTGGGAGGCCTCTGTTTTGTTGGTCGGATGGGGAGGACGAGGAGCAGGAGGGTGAGGATCGGGAGGAGGTTCTGTTCGGTCCTCCTCGAAGGCGCGAGGCAAGGTCACATCTGCCTGGCGGATGCCACTCCCGAAGGAAAGCGACAGCCGAGGTCGGGTGGAGGAGGAGGAGGAGGAAGAGAAGGAGGAGGAGGAGAAGGGTCACAAGGATGAGCCGCTTTCCGGAGGCACCGCTTCATCCTTGAGCCCCTGGCCCATCCTTACCCACTGTCGCTGGCAAAGTGTGCTCACAGGGCTCCAACTGGGGCGTCCGAGGTCCTTGCATCCTTACCTAACATCCGTACGATCCTGCCCCACCGTATCGAGGAGGGAGAAGGAGGAGGAGGAGGTTGAGGAGGAGGAGGAAGAGGAGGAGGAGGAGGAGGAGGAGGAGGAGGAGGAAGAGGAGGGGGAGGAGGAGGAGGAGGAGGAGGAGGAGGAGGAGGGGGAGAAGGGGGAGGGCTCTGAGGGCTCTGAGGGCTCTGATGAAACGAACCGCTCCTGCGGTCCCTGGCCACGCAAGGCTCAGCGCGGAGGGGGGGAAGAACCACCCGCGCACCAGGCGACGCGCCAACCACGCCGAGCCAACAAGGCCTGGCCACGAGGAGCCACACAAGGCCCCAGGCCCCAAAGGGCCAAGCCGACCCTACCACGTCCCATGGAGGAACGTGGTGAGGCTGGAGCCGTGCGCGGAAGGATCCCCCCCCACGCCCCCGCCCAAAAGTCAGACCGGAACGACCTTGCACAGGGAAGCCCCGGAGAACTTCAGCCAATTCTGGTCGCTGCCATCTTCACGCAGACTGCTCCACGCGTCCACGGCCTCACGCGGCATGCGCCACGCGACTCCAATGAAATGATCTTCACTGCAACGGTCCCCAGCATCCCCATCAATCGGAATGGCGAACTTGCCAAACAATTTCGGCTCGATCTTGCCAGTCATCTTCGTCTCGGCTGCGCCAATGCTTGCGAGAGTGCTTGAGGACGTGCTGATGACGCCAATCTTCACCTCACATCCGCCATGGCTCGCCCGCGCTGCGCCGCTGCGAAGTGCGCGCGGGCAAGGCCCCTTTGGGCCCGCGGCGGCTAGGAGGAGGGGGAGGAGGAGGAGGAGGAGGAGGAGGAGGAGGAGGAGGAGGAGGAGGAGGAGGAGGAGGACAAGGACGAGGAGGAAGGGGAGGAGGAGGACAAGGACGAGGAGGAGGAGGAGCAGGAGGAGGAGGAGGAGGAGGAGGCGCAGGATTTTGAAGATCCAGGGTGGGGGGAAGGGGAGGATTGAGAGGAGCACGAGGCGCAGGATGATGTGATTTGGGGTTGGGATGGTAGACAATTATGTGGGGAGGTTGAGGAGGATGGTTGGGAGGAGTCCCAGCAGGGTGCTTTGGAGCAGGATCGAGAGGAGGAGGAGGAGGAGGAGGAAAAAGAGGAGGAGGATAACGATGAGAAGGAGAGGATTCGCAGAAGGGATGCTTTGGATGAGGATAGGGAGGAGGATAGGGAGGAGGTGGAGTTGGAGTTGGAGTCCCTGGACTTAGTCCTACCAACACTTCCTGACACCCTTTCAAGGCTCTATTTGCTAATTCAGCCTTGCTGTATGCCTTGGGCCACTGCCCTAAAGCAATCCGGCGGAGGTATTCTCTCCTGGTTGGTGTGCGCTGGGAAGCGCAAGCCTTCCCGAGGCCCAGGAGCTGCTGGCCCCCGTGCATCCCGCAACACGCACGAAACCAAGACATTAACACAGCTCGAAGCCTCATACAGTGGGATGAGTGACGAACCCCCCCAGCGAGGTGAACGGTGGCCCCCTCGGGAAGTGCACGATGGGAGCTGTCCAACGCAACGAGCCTGACACACGGAGACTGCTTGCCACACATGGACGCGGGCAGCCGACGCAGACCCACGAAACTGCAGCCACCGTCGGCCACGCTCCGAGAGGACGTGTGACGTCCCGAAGACCGAAATACTTCACTGCAGTAGGAGGAGGAGGAGGAGGAGGAGGATCACTGCAGGGGGGCGGAGGAGGGGGGAGGGAAGCAGCAGCACCAGCAGGCTCACCCTCGTTCGCTCCTCCGTTGGCCTCCCGAGCTCCTCGCCTCGTGTGCCGCAGCCTCCCGCTCTGGAGGCACGTCCGCTGCAGCTGCTGTTCGGCCTCCAGGGAGTCGAGGTGCGACCGCAGGATCCGCATGCGGAAGAGGTACAGTACCCGCTACTCCTCCAGGATGCTGGCACGGATGCCTTCTGGCACTCTCGCGAGTGCTGCACCTTCTCCCGCCAGGACATCTGCAGCTGTGTTGCCGAAGGTCCTCCACGAGGGCCCAATCTGACGTACAACAATGTCCTCAGCCTCCAAGTGCGAATTCGTGAAAACGGCTGTAACATGCTCTGGGCTCCTGCCACCATCTCGGACAAGCAGGTTGATTTTCGCCCACAGCTCTGCGTGCTCTCCTGCAGGCCGTAGGTACTGCTGGGCCCACCAACCGTCAAACACCACCTTATCATCCGTCAAGAATGTGAAATACTGTGTCCTCATCCGCAAGGCAACCCAAACTATGTACAGCTCACCCGTTGGTACCGTCTGAACCACACCTGGGAGCGCACCGGCAATAGACACCTGTAGCTGGAAATCCGTCTCGCTGGCCAACTGCACCAGGCCAAGCCCACTACGGCGAAGCCTGGCATCTCGGGAGTCCTGTCCGCCACTGGCGTCGCCAAACAGTCGTACAGGCCTGCCGTCCTCGCCAGGCCCTAGGACACCGTCGGCAACTCCCTCATTCTCCGACAGGTTCATGTCACAGACATTACGACTTCAACGAAACTACGTCACTACACCGGATTAAAATAGAGGTGTGGGTTCAATTGAAACATCAATTCGTGAGGTACGCATTATCCTGAACAAGCCTCTGGCGCGCTGCCTCTCATGCGAGGCCATGGCCTCACCCGCCTCGCCCGTAAGGGGCCCGGGCGCATGCCCGCACAGGCGATCCGATCCGATCCGATCCGAGTCTGGAACCAGGACTCTTGATCGGGCGACTCTGGTACTCTGGTCCACGAGGCGGGCATAGCTCCTCTAAGCCAATCTGCTGGCTCAGACTCATGCTGCGTCGCTGCCATCATATACACATTGTCCGCCTTTGTGTAGACAGGGTGATCGGTCTTCTTATTACATTCCCAAACACTACGAAACTGAGACTCATCCTTCTTCTTGCACCTGGGGCAGAGTGGACAGACCTGAACTTCCTTAGCCGCCTGAGACCTCCTGAGCCTCGGCCACGAACCTCCCGCCACAACCGTTTCAAGAAGTTCCGAAAGCCTCCGTCCCCTGGGAACCTGCTCGAGCTACCTCATGAGATGGTGGAGGGAGTACACGTCCATACCTTGGTCTTAACCTCCATTGCAAAAATGACGTTCGGCCTTGGACCACAACAGCTTCTCCGACGATGGATTAACATCCAGGAGAAAGTGTTGGGTCATTCAACGCCAGAATATCTGACTAACCACCCTCTTGGAAACGCCATTCAGTTCCATTTTCCATAACCCAGCACACCGGTGAAACTGTATCCCACCTCCTTTCGAAAAGCGCCAAGATCACCGCAGACACAGGACCGTTGACCCAACGAGAGAGATGCGACTGGGGAAGGCTCCGAAAATGCTGAACCACACCCCTTCCAAGCCCGAGGAGCACGCCCACGAATCTCGGGCCTGGCGAACCACTGCTGCAACCACAACTGCAAGGATTGCTGAGGGTACCTCATTCCAGGATCGAGGCCAGGCGCCTGGATGGCAGGAGTGGACGAGAGACAGCAGCCAGGGCCTCTCGAGAAAGCAGCCGGGGCCAAGCTCCTCCTGAAGGGTACAGGGCGTTGGCCGAAGGTGCCGTGGAGCTCCTGGCCGTAGTTGCCCGCAGCCTGCGTACCCGTCCTTTCCAGCCGAGAAGTTACAGCATACGGTTGGGAGGCGCGAGCGTATCTAACATTAAGTCGGGCGTGTCCCTCTACAGGAGGAATATTGAAAAATAGTCGAAACATAGTCCTGGGACGATTTCGACTGGCTTTCACGATTTGGGAGTTTATGTTGCTGACCTTTTGCTCTTTATATAAAAAAACATGTCCCAAATCGGCCTGTAGGGGGACATGCCCGACCTAAGACTGAGGTCGAATTATGAACCCTTTCACCCGAAGCCGTCTGGCTATCTCCTTGGTGTCGCCGTACCACAGCAGACTTGGGGGAGACGTCAAGGTGCCACTTGGCCAGCTCGTTGCACGTCTCCCAGGGACAGGAAGTGGCACTCTCGACGACTGGCCGCCTCGGTCCAGACACCCTCTGCGAAAGATCGTCTATCCCGATGCGATGGTCCAGGGCTGGGTGGCTTCTCGATAGTCGCGCCAAAACAAAGTGGGCAATGCATTTCGCGAATCGAGTCCCCGACCTGAGGCCCTGAATGATGATGCGGTCAACAAGGAAGGGTTCACATACAGCACCGAACTGTTCCAGAGTCCTCGCTGCCACGCACTGTGCCAACTCCATATATATATATAGAATCACTGCAGGAAAGCCCAAGCGGAGCGCAGCACCTAATAACATATCCCACTCGGTATCGTCGAATAAGCTTAGAATATCCAGCATGCCGTGCCCCGTGGGTAACTTCATCCATCCAGCAACTTCGTCAGCCAGCGTGCAGTGATATGCCTCAGCCGGCGAAATGTTGCCTCGCGCAGCTGCGCCCTTCTCCGTCTCGGCAAGACCACGCCACTCACGCACTTGATACCCGCGGATGCCTGACC